ATAATAGAAAACCAACCATGTTTGTGTTAATATTTTGTAGCATAAAACCATTATTATCAACCACCACCTGGTATCGACTCGGCGTAGATTGTAGAAGTTTCTTGATATAATATTCTTCAATCTGTCTCCACTTTTGCTCTAAAGCGGCAAAAAGTTCATCCTTGTTTGAATAAATTTTATCTCGTATTTGCTTATCTAAGTATTCCCATAGATTTTCAATGGGGTTTATATCGGGAGACTGTGAAGGCCATTTGAGAACTGGTATTTTTTCATTCAGAAAGAATTTATTTGCCAGATTTGAAGTGTGCTTCGGGTCACTATCTTGCTGGAAGATTGATCTTAAGGGCATATTGTCTTCTATATAGGGTAACATGACAAACCCCGAAAAGCACCCCAAACCATAACAGACCCGCCTCCATGTTTGACAATGAGCAAAGTGTACTTGGGGCTCAACCTTTGTCCACTAGGACGTTTAACGTAATGAACACCGTCTGATCCAAACATATTGAACTTGGATTCGTCACTGAAACATACCCTCCCTCTTCCAGTCACAGATGCTCCAATCAAGATGCAACCGTGCAAATTGTAATCGGACCTTACGGTTTTTCCTCGAGATTAGCGGCTTCTTACTCGGGCGACGTGCAAATAACTTCAAAACATTTAATCTTCTACTTATAGTTTTCGTAGAAACACTGACAATTTCTTTTGTCTCGATTTCGGCTTTTATTTGTCTTGGGGTTTTAAACGGATCTTTGGACGAAATTACTTTTATTAATCTAACTGATCTATCATTTAGCTTTCTAGGCCGACCACTTCTCTTAGAGGCTTCCAAGATACCTTTTTGTTTATATTTGTTCAATATTGCCCAAACTGCTTTACGCTTCAGCCTCAAATTTTTGGCAATGTCGACTTGACATTGACCATCTTTGTATAACTCAATGATCTTAGTTTTCACATCGAAATAAATTTCTGGACCACGTGGCACGGTCTTAAAATAACTCAACTTAATCCACAACACTTGATGAACACAAACTAATCCTCTTCTGACACGAAACTGTACTAAACTAATGTTGAAAAGAATTTGTCTACATATTTTTGTCCCTCATAAAAAAGTGCTTACATTCAGACTTGTATTGTGTTTATTGCAGATAATGTAAAAACAAGGAATTTTGTTTTTCTACTAATAACGCATTTGTTTATGGAGCAATGAAGTATGAATTCGTTTTATAAAGGTATTTAGGTAAATATTCATATTTGTCTATATACTTTGTCCATTACTATATATATATACAGGGTTGAAGTTGAATCATCAATTTTCAGATAATGATTGTAGAAGGAAGATAAACCAAAATATGTGTGTAAAAATAAAAAAAAAAATGTTACCTTGTTTTATAAAGTATCCTCCCGACAAGTAATTCAGTGCGGACCTGTATTTGATCGCGCGGTCTTGGAGCACCGGCATTCCCTCCCCTGTGAGGTCTTAAGTCACCTGATTCACGAGCCCTTTGTACTACATTAACAAAGGCACGAGGGGTTGGTTGCACTCGATTGGGAAACCGATCCGCATAAATCCGTGATGCCGCGGCAACATTTTGTAAAGACTGGAATGATTTAAAATTTGGTATGTGGATTTACCCAAAGTACTGTCCACATTCAAAAGTATTCACTTAAAATAAACGTGCACCGGTAGCGTCGATACAGGAAATTAGTGGCATTATTTTTCCAAATTAAAATAGAACACCACTGTTTTTTTTTTTTCGAAACGCGCAACTTTTTGAATTTTACCTCTAATTTGCTACAAATAATTACTCTTGTGTTTTTTCCTAGAGCGCATTTTTTTCGTGAAAATAAAAAATAAAAATCAGATAATCAAAGCTTTATATCAATATATATTCAAAAAGACCACCATTCTGACGGATCCAAATGGGCATCTTTTTAATAAACATATTTCCGCAAAATTTGATGAAACGTATTACCTATTCTTTCTTGTAACTGATCAACAGTATTAATTTGTTCAGCATACACTAGTTGTTTAAAAGCGCCCCACCGAATGAAGACAAGATAAAAGCTACTCTCAAAACCTGTAAGTTTCACATAGCTATTTAATTTTAGTTTAGCTTAGTAATAAAAGAAGTACGTCAGCTTGAAATTCCAAAGTTTTATAACATCAGATTTCTTATTTGCCTAATCGCCAGTCTATTTGACATTGTCACGAAATATCTAGATAGCCTGACCACCAAAAACCGTGAAAAGACCATTCTACTTAGTATAAATTTAACATTTTATAAATATTTCATGGCAGCTTGGCAACACCGCCGCACATAGATCGCTTAATAGTCCAAGAGCCGACAGCAAAGTTTTACCTATATCGCGTACTTATATGATACGATAAAAACTAGTCGCATCTTACATATTTTGATGCTAAACAGCAAACTCGGCAAGTTTCCTGTTTAGTATCAAAATACGCAAGATGCGACTAGTTTTTATCGTATCATATTAGTGAGCGATGGTGTTACAAAAAATTTACGATCGGCTTCCTTTCTACAATTCAGATGACTCCCAAGGTCAATCAGTCCGACCGACGGATTATAAAGGCATTCCACGAAGTGTCTTCTCTTTATATAACTACTTCTTGGTATAAAAATAGTCACTATTGTTTTATTCCCTGATTATATTTAAACAATTGTGTTGGTACTTAGCTGAAAAGCACAAACCACTACGCAAAGTAGCAACACGTCAATTTTTATTTCCATAATCATCCGTACATAGTAATCCGGTCTAAAAACAATAAAGCATCAGCGCACGTAGGCTACTATGCGGGGGCAGAAAGTGCCGGACATAATCCACGGCCAACGTTGATGATGCTTCCGGGATTAGCGAGGCGAGAAACGATGGTCAGTCAGGATTATCGGGACTCTCTCCTTTGAGCTTTGTGCATAGTTTATCAAAGGCCACTTCGCTGGCTCTCGCTTTCGGACTATCGGCTAATTGTGATTACTCGCTGCTCGCTGTTTTGGGCCCTCTGCAGTTTTGATCCGGTGGTGATATGCAGCTCGGAAACTGTGCAAGACAAGATATAATAATACAGAAATATACTAGTAGACGATATTTAAATGTACATACAGGTATAGCAAATAACAGAATCAGTAAGGATGGTAAAAAATTGCAATTAAATCACTAGACTAAACGATAAATGAAACAAGAACAAAAAAGACGTCATGACCATAAGCAGATAAAAAGGAATATAGAAAAAACCTTAGTTATAGGGTATTCGAGATAATACTTTTATTGTAAGAAAAATAACGTCCTAAATATCATATTTTTGAGATAACAAGGAGGAAGAGGGCTTACTTTATTAATACAACTAACACCTTTCGAAATGGATATGTTAAGCTATATTTATGTAAGAAAGGAATGCTTAGATTTTGATGCAATTTAAAGACCAGGTTACTACTATGCCGAATACAAAAAAGACTTATAGGTAGGTTTTGGAAATCGGTCTAGTATCAACGGAGATATTAGCGGAAGACTAAAAATGTCTAACGACCCTTTGATTCAACTTCGAGAAGAGAAAAAAGTCACAAGGACTCAAGTCAGGCGAATAAGGAGACTGAGGAACCACGGGAATGTTTTTAATGACCAAAAACTCGTTTATTGACATTGCTGTGTGGCAACGCGCATTATCGTGATGCGACACCCAGTTGTTCTTGGTCTGATGAACGGTGGTGTGAGTCAAATTTAACTCTTCCATGATTATTCTGATCTGAACCGACGATCTGAATGCACAAGATCCCAGATTCTGTTCATATTTCCAACGGTTCTTGAAGGAAAAGACCTTCCGGTTCGTCGTTCATCTTCAATCGACTCTCTTCCTTCTGAAAATGTATAGCAATTTCCGTTGCACTAGGAAAAACTGTTAAAAAAAATCTCTACGTACAACCAAATGACTCTAGAGACTATAAAACTTTAAATGTAAATATTTCGAAAACGGTAAATCATAGAGAGATTTTTAAAGCATACCTTTTTTAAACAAACATGATTGCACAATGTATATTTTTAATAAAAAAGTAAATTATAATAAGCGTAAATAATCCGCAGTTTAAAAAACAGAAAATGTTGCTGGTGGCGCCCTCTATAAGATAATTGGAAAAAAGGTCAATTTTTAGATTTGCCGAAAAAAACCGCATATGCCACGTTAAATTAAAAACGAACAATAAATGCTAAACTTATAGCCAACATCAAAAAAACTACAATAAGTTTATCTTGGTTGCCTTTGACTTTCGGACTAAGAAAATTTAACTCAATCTCAATATTCCTTTGGAAGAAATCTGCTGCGGTAGCTGGTATGTGGAACAAATGACTATCTGATAATTTCCAGGACTACCTAGGAAATTCTGCTTTTTGAAATAACTAAGGTTGGCAATGTCAATGTAAGACTCATTATATATTTTTTTAATCAGAATTAAAAACTCTATTCATCTGTGACAAAATCCAATATGGCATCCATAAGCACAAATAAAGTTGTTACTAGAGGACGAAACGTCAGATTGAAATTCTAATTATGTCATCTTGTAGAGGAGAAAAAGTTGTAACATTAATGTGCAATTTATTTTAAAATTCCACCACAAATGAAGTCAGGGAAAAAATAAAGCGATTTTGGAAAAAATCTGTTTTTTCTATCTCCGAAAGTACTTTCTATTTCGAAACTTTCTAAGGGGCATTTTGTTGATTACCAGAATATCAACTTTGCTCCTATTTAAACGACTTCGTATCTCTTACAGTTTACAAGATCCCAACGGTGAGAGTCGAATTTGAAACACCCTGTATATTGATATTATAATGTTCCAAATTGGAAGAGTCCCATAGCCCACTGTACGCTACAGTCGGGTAGTAATTTTTTGTATCTCTAACTTAATCAGCTTGTGAGGGTGTAGAAATTGAATAATAAATAGTGTGATTTAATGTATAATCAATTAAAAATCATTCCTCTTCTATTCCAGACTCGGGCAGCGAAAGCGGCTCGCACAAAGGCGGTTCCGGTTCTGCTGGATCCGGTGGCGGAGGCGGCGTCTTGCGCAAATCGGGGGGCGGTACGCACGGCGGAGGCGGTACCGCAGGCAGTGACGGCAAACCGACGCGCGTGCGCACCGTCCTCAACGAGAAACAATTGCACACGCTGAGAACCTGCTACGCGGCCAACCCAAGGCCGGACGCGCTAATGAAGGAACAACTGGTCGAGATGACCGGTCTGTCGCCCAGAGTGATCAGAGTGTGGTTCCAGAACAAGCGGTGCAAAGATAAGAAAAAGACGATACTGATGAAGCAGCAGATGCAACAGGAAAAGGTTGGTGATCTTTGGAGATTACATTTTCCTTTTGAGTAATATAAGTCAGATCACGGTCGGAGAAAATACGATTTTGGAAGGGTCAAAAATATACTTCTTCAATCTGGCCCAGAGTGCGACATGTTGTCTAAGGAAATAAAATAATGAGAATCTGATGAAGAAACTCTATTTTTTAATTCTAATCTTGCGTGAATCCAGTGTAGATCATTTCCATAATATTTCGTATTTCACTGACAAATCTTTATTTTACGTTTCAAAAATATAATCCTTATATGATACTTTTTGGTCAAAATCTTCATCAAAACAAATTCAGATGCGCCTTATCATCATTTACATACATTCATTTATCTACCAGCTACCTTTTCTATATAAATTGAAAATCAAAATATCTAAAAGCTTATATATATTACCCGAGTTAAATTATGCTCCTGTATAAATTTCATATAAAATGATGGATAATTTTATTGAATGTATGTAATTATTTAGATAAGCTTGGACGTTTTAAAGGATATGGTTTCGAATCATTAGAGGATGCAGTTGCATATAACATATCCATGTAATCAGGTCCAATGTACGTACAATATACATTTAAATAATTATTATTCATTACTGAATCGACCTACCTGGCTTCATTATGCAACTTTCAAAGCTATATAGGTTGTATAGAAACCATAGTACTATAACTCGAGAGATATGCTCACTTCACGATCGAATTCAGTATGCCTTTACGCATGACGTCACTCGGTGACAAAAGTTCCGCTTGTCGGTTCGAAATGCTTTGTATTAGGATCGTTTGCTTTTCAATATTTGGAATATTTGCCTAACATTTTTGATGTTTCTCCAATACCATTTAATGAACAGAATAGACAGAAAACATTAGGTACCTTTGTGAAGTTATTACTTTTGAAAAACCAGCATTAGACAAGTTGAAAAGTTTCAAATAACTTGAGACTTAATCATTGAAAATGCTTTGCCTATTAAATTTTTTATTAGTTCCATATGAAGGGACTTACTTTTTTATTGAAGTAGGTAAATTGGTTTCAAATTAATAATACCTTTGTTTATCAGTGGAGTATATTAATTTCTTATATTAACTTTTTCTACAGAAAAAGAATGGAGAATAAGATGACAACTTGATAATGTTTTTATAAAATGTTGTGCAAATCGTTTTCTAATATTTGTTATGGGTTAATTAATGATAGTATTTTGTATTGGTGAACAATTTTATTGGATTTAACACTTTTCATCATTTCCTCTTCCCAATTATAGATTTTTCTTTTATACAGGGTCGCCAATGTATAACTTACTGATTTAAATTTCGCGCCATTTTTGATGCACGCATTTCAGTAGGTGGCGCCGTAGTAGTTGTTTAAAGCACATATGTCCAATTTATCATGGAGCGCTACATGATCCCACAACGTGTCCGTATTGTTAAGACGTTTTACTTGAATAATAAGTCGATTGTTGCAACGATTCGGAAGTTACGACAAGATTTCGGTCGAAATAATGTACTCAGTGTCAACACAAGGTCGGGCTGTGTTCGAACTGTTCGTACCCAGGAAAATATCGAAAGCATCATCAATATCATTATAAATAGTGACCGCATTGTATGTAAAAGACTTCATAAATGTTGTTAAGCGAAATTTCGGAAGAGACAGTTTATTAATATATCTGATAATCAAATCATGCAAATCACGCCTAAAAACTAATTTTCTGCCTAAAAAAAAAAGGAGGAAATGAGGCTAGTAATAGCCGGTGAACTATGACAGATGTATAGTATCTATAGATATTTTCTATTTTCAACTAACTCAATTCATTTATTTTGCTTGAAACTCGATCATATTTCCTGAGCTTAAAAACAAATCTTGAACAATTCTGAATTTTTTGCAGCCTGTACTTTAAAACTTGCGTAAGAAATGGGTAATAAAGCGTGACAGCATGATTCAGACTAGGATATGCCAAGTACTCACAAAGCATTTTTCGCAATCTAAAATTTAATATTTCTCCATTTCGATAGAGGAGCCTAAGTACAAGATACGTCTTTTTGACTAAAAGTGAAACATACTCATCAAACCTGAGCTTACAGTCAAAAATTATACCTCAGTTCTTTACACTTTTGGAGAGAGCAAAACTCCTTCCGTCAATTTTCAGTTCCATTGATTGCGTAAAAATTTCCTGGTTAGGTGGAGAAAATACAATGACTTGACATTTATCGGAATTTAGTTTTAAATTGTGCCTCAAAGAGTACTTGTGTATTTCTTGTAAGTCCTGGTTAATGTAAGCAGATGCTATATCAACTTCGGATCAAAAGATAAAAATAATTGAGTGTCATCAGCGTACCCTTGAATATTACAACTATTGACAGCTTTGAATATATCTGAAGTATATATAAGTAATGAAAAGTAAAGGTACGAGAATGGAACCTTGTGGAACTCCATAGGTCACAAGTTGAAAATCAGAATAAGAAGTGTTATCCACTACAACACACTGGTACCTATGATGTAGATAAGAATCAAAAAGATTATTTGAAGCACACCAGATAACAAACTAACGAAACATATCAAATTATGTCCTAAAGCGCCATATAAAACTAAACGTTTGTCACCCGTCTCTGGAGAATGTCGTCACCCAGTGACGTCACGCGTTTGAAACAGATAAACAGATCGAATGTGCTCGGGTTTATCTTCTCGAGTATCATAGTATACATTCGCTTATCAAAATTCATCGAGGTCTCCAAATTATCTGAGAAATCGAAGGATTGTTAAGATCCCTGAGACCTGGATTGGAATTTCCAATAGTTCCTGGAATATTCTCTTCAGAACTCAAAAAGTATGGAGGCCAGAAGCCAAAATTATGTATCGGAATGGGGGTATAATAGCCCCACAACGCGTTTTCCTTTGTGTGGCTGGTTGTCCTTAGAGAACACTGTAAAGCAAAAAGATAATTTATAATAACCCTAAGAAATTGTAGAGCCAAAAATCTCCCGCCTTAAATAGGCTCAACCAATATTTGGACCTTTATCTCAATACCGACCGGTTTAGCAGTGACCAAAGTCAAGATTGTCCTTGATCCTGTCCTGTTGATCATATTTTCAAAGAAGACTTGATTCTGTATGCACGCTTCTGTGTTAGTCTAGATTCTGTTTTTTTTTTGTAGCCCCTGAGTCCGTTTAAAATCAAAAGTCCTGCGAGGGTATCTCGCGTTTATTTTCTTTGCATTCGCGCGTTCAAATATTCGCAGTAGACTTGCCTACGTCTTACGGTCTCATGCCTTCCCGTATAGTCTAGGGAACCCCGTGAATTGACGACACTCGGGCGTTGAAAGTGAAGTCCATGGTGGAGATGGCGAAAAGATCTTGGTAAGCCTTTCCGCCTCAGCTTTTGAGTCGGTTACAATCGTTCCATCTTGGCACGTAAGCGCCAGAAAGCTACCCTTTGAGAATCTGCTTGTCCAGCAACCAGAAAGACCGCCTGCCATTGCGTTGCGACATTATCCTGTGCCTAATTTTCACATCTTGATGGTCTTTGGCCTTGCGACCCGCTTCGTTGTATTTGTTTCTGGACTCGACATCGACTTGTCTGTTCTCTCACCGTATGAGGGATGTATTCCTTCATCCCATCATGGATAATTTCCGTTATTGACGAACAGACAGCCGACGCACCCGAGGCAGCTAAGCAAACATCTCTCCAAGAAAAGTTAGGGAAAGGCTCTAAAGCCCTTCTCAGTCAGCATGCCCGTAATCCCAAACTATGCGGCCTGGGCGAGTTTCTGCTGCCACAACTGGTGCTGACTGAAACCTGACCTTTCCAACACCGTGGTCTGAGTAACCCAGGGGAGAGCAGTGCGATAAGCGACTGGATCCGTGGCCAGGAAGAGATCCAGCATACTGCTGGCGTCTGACGAAATGCAAGGGAAATAGAAGGGCTCGTCACCAGCTGGGCCACTCCTTGAGTAAAGGCCAGCTCTTCAACAGCAAGACTTGCTGTATCGGTCTTGCTTGAGCCTAACTAGAGCTCGTTATGGGCATTGGAATCACTAAGGAGAACTAGATACCTCTGAAGCAGTGAAATTGATGTCCAAGAAGTCAAGGTTACCCCAGGGTCCGAAGGAGAGCGATAGAAGCAGAAAATAAATTCAGTTATGGTCTGGAGATGAGGTGAAGTCACAGAATGTTCTTCCGGCCTATTTCCAAAGAAACATCTCTGAAGCAGGAAGAACTGCTGCGCTCAAAACTCACAACTCCCCCGTTCTTCTTCACATTGAAGTGATTCACCTGGTAGTTTGGAAGCTAGATGGTTAGTTTGTTCCAAGAAAAGCATGGCGAGACACTTAGACTAGACCAGATAGTGGTGAACAGCATCAGTGATGCTGTTGATCCCGCAGATGTTCATAAAGAAGATTTTATCATCGATGTTGGTCCCTCAAATCCACCCTCCATACAGTCATTCCAACAGTGAAACGAGCTTACTTCAGGAATTCTTGTATTCGAGGGATCCATCATCATTTTTTCTTAAGAAGGAGAAGGGAAAAAAGAAGAAAACTGACCTCGGCCCGTATCGTCAGTCTTTCCTACAATTGCAGGACGCCTTTATGGCCTCCTTGATTGGCATTGTTTTCCACTTTTCCGTGTCAACGCTCTATTTTGAGGTTATGTCACAAATATCTATTTGCATCAAATTGTGCATGCTTTTGAGTTGCATCAAGTTTCATCAACCTGAAATTGCCTACAATTTAAAAAGAAAACATATCTTCACAATAGGAGAGCGCTGACGCTGACACAGAACAGGTGCATTCTAGAAATTTTTGAAGGAGAGAACGGAGTACGACAATCAAGGAGGCCATAAAGGCGTCCTACAATTGTAGGAACGACTGACGATACGGGCCTAAAAAGCTTAGTCGTGGATACATGCGGATATATGGGAAAAGCTAGAAGAATGTTAGAATATCAAATTTCTCCCTGGAACCTCACGCCGATAAGATTGCCAAGTTCTGAAGGGAGG